GACACAAAAGATTTTTCAGATTAAAATGCTGGAGTGCTCTAACGATAGCCACTTGTGGTTTTCTAGCCAAATATAAAGAAATCACTCTATCACGCTTGAATTCCATTACGAATAACTTTTTTCTGGAAAAATGTCACCAAAATTCTTTTGTACGCTTGTAAACCATATAATGAGCTGTCACTGAAATAATTTTAACAGCTGTCGGACGAGTGGCTTAGTAATGACAGCAGTCTGAAGTTGGTTGCAGTTTTTTTAATCTCACCCTAAACACTTTGCAGGGTATCAGGAGATTACTTCAAGGAATTTAAACTGTATGGTAAGGTTAATGACCGTACATGTGAGACAAGTTGGGGATGGGATCCCTAGGGCCCCGGATTTCCTCAAAATTTGTATATATATTTTTTTTAATTTTATGTGGATATATATATTTTTATTTTTATTTCTTTTTGTGCTAGTTTAGCCCCCGTTGTCATTTCAAAATACATTTGAGTGTACGTCCCTGTTTCATAGTATGGTAGAGGCTATAAAAGCCTTTCTATCAAAAATTTGTCATATTTTTGTGTCATTCACTTTACTGTTTAGAGGTGGTTTATTTATTTATTTCAATTATTATGCATCCAGGCATAAATTTGTAATAAACCAAAAATGGAAATGATAACAATATTTTTTTTAACAACCGTAATTTAATAAGGACACATGCACACACACAACAAACTTTGGTGGTTTTCTCCAACTCCAACCAATTGTCATATATTTTTATTTCAATTGACAAAGTGTTGTATTCAAAAAATATTGAAATTGTTTTCTTTTTATGAAAAAAAAAAAAAAAACAGCAACAATAATAAAAGCTCATTGCGTATTTCCCAAAATCGCATATATAAACATCAAAGATTTAAAGACCAAAACCACCAACAACAACAGCAACGTCGACGTCGACAAAAAATACATATCATTCTGCCTACATTGTATATTTATTTATGTAAAATATAATAAAAATCGATTTTTTACATGAAAATCATATATTTTTTGTATTTTGTATTTTCACAAGGATAGCAATAACAACCACTACCAACACTACCACAACAAAAAAACAGAATAAACTTTTTCGCTGATTGTTTTGAATGTGCCATCGAAAATAAGAAAAAAAAAGAATCGGAAAAATAAGAAACGCAAAGCAGCAAAGCGAAAGAGGCAGACCAAGTTGTACAGCCACCACCAAGCACCACAACTCGCTCTCCATAAATAGCGGCGTACATAGTTTTATTACTGGCTCTTCACTTCATTCCAACGCCAGTTGTCGGTTTTTATTGTTACTTTATATTGTTTATATTCGCATTATGTTGCCATAAAACACTATAAACTACCAAAAGAATCTTGTTTTCTTGTTTTTGTGTTGTTCCCTGGCAGTATTTTTCTACTACTGAGCCGTAACAACAACAACAACTACAACAAAAGCTCCAACGATGGCGAGGCGTCTTTAGCGCTAACAATATCTAGCTTCTGCCTAAGTTGCTCTAAGAAAAATCTCGCTCTCTGGAAAAATAGGTGGATTCTTTGCCATCCATAGCTCAGTTATTGTTGCAAAATGTCAGCTTGTTTTAGCGATTCACAGAATTGGGATAAAATCACAATTGTTGTTGGTGATGTTTTTTTTTATTTATACTTTTTGTTCGGCGGGAGTAGAATGAGGCTAAGGGGGAGGAAAGGAAACCGCTTTGCAAAATAGACAAAGATATTTTACTTTACTTTGGATACTCAATGTGATTTCATATTTTTTTATTCCTCCTTAAAGAAGAGTAGAGTTCTCTACATTTGCTTTTTTGTTGTTTTGTTTTGAAGCCATTATTATTTTCCTGTTCTACCAGTAAAGCGTTGTATTACTGTTGTTGTTGCTGCTGCTGTAAAAGGTCTTTTGTTGTAGTTGTTGTATTCTCACTTTGTATCCTTGTAACAACTGAGTTGTTTATTGTTGTGCCTTGATAGTTTTAGGTTTATTTTTTTTTTTGTTTCGTTTTGTTTTTTGATTTTTTTTTACTTTATTTTATTGTTATTTTTCTTTTAGTGCCGAGCAATTCCTTTTGGAACTTGATGTGTTCACACACAAGCACACGCCTTTATATATTTGATAGGAAATCGATGTTATAAATCAAAGGAAACCCGAGATGTTCAGCTACATTCCTCTAACACATAACTACACTTCAAGTTCCGCTGAGACAAAAAATAAAATAAGGCCTTTAAAGGAATGCAGTTTTTAGAGAATTGCACAGTGGCACATAAATATTAGTTTTGTTTATATAATGAACTCATTATCAAAAGAATAAATTAATAATTATTAAAATTTTATATTTAAATTATGAAAAATAGCAAAATATAAATTCATAAGAAATTATATTCCCATTCGAATATTTCCAGATCAATTTTTTGACCAGTTTTAAAATAAAAAAATTATTTATTATATAATTATATATATAATAAATAATATAATTATAATTATTTATTATATAAAGTATAATTATTTTTTATATATATAAAACTTTTTGTATATCTGGACTGTTAGATACAAAAAAAATATTTTTTTTAAATGCCTCTTGTCCAATTACAATTAATTTTTAATCGAATTATCTCATTTTATTCACAAAAAACAATATTAGCAAAAAAAAATGTGAAGAAATAATTGGTTTATAATTTGAATTTTCGAATTACTAATTAAATAATTCAATATACAAATGAAAAACTCGAATTTCAATACAACAATTCTAATTTCAAATGACGTTTTATGAATTACAATTTGAATTCTTGAAATATTTCTAATTACGATTAAAATCTTTTGGTATTCACTTATTTGGATTATGATATGGATTTAAAATGTTTATACCCTCCACCGTAGTATGGAGGGTATACAAAGTTTGTCATTCCGTTTGTAACACCTCGAACTATACATTTTAGATCCCACAACGCATATATATTCAGCATAAAATTTTATGTCGACTTAGCGATGTCCGTCGTCTGTAAGTCTGTGGAAACCACTCTAGCTTTTGAACGAAGTGAAGTAGGTTAATAAAACATACTCAAATGTATATTATGTCTGCGGGACTTTTGGTATTGAAAATGAACTATGTAGGTCCAAGTTTTAGAATAGCCTCCATATAACAGTAGCTCCTGATGCTCGGCTTTTTGATGATTTTAGCGACATTATTCACCGGAATTGTTTCAAATTTGGTACTTGAAGTTCGTAATGGATATTACAGCCTAAGACAGAAAATCGTCTGTGCAGGTCCACGTTTTGGTGTAGCTATAGCTACATTATTCACAGAATTTTTTTTTTTCAAGTTTCGGCTTATGACAAATGTTGCCTATGTAAGTTTTTTTTTTTTTTGAAATTACCAAATTCTTTCCAAATGGTGAAGGGTATTCAAAGTTCGGCCGTCCGACCTTATAGCTTTTTTACATGTCTTCATGTGGTATTGCAATGTTAGAAGTAACAGCAAATAAATATATTTAATTTAATGACACTTGCCTCGTTTACATTTTTGAGCCCTAGTGCGGGAGGTATCGAAAGGAGGTGGGTCGAAAAATTTCATATTTCATCTTGAAATATTGCAATGTGTGCAGTTTTGAAGGGACCAGATGGAATGGAATGGACAGATACGTCCATTTTCGCTCTAAATGACCTGAAACGGACTTGGTCCAAAGAGGCCTGCGGTCTAAAACAGTTATTTCGATGAGCCACATTTTGGCTGAATCAAAGGATATATACCCTCTGTATCCATATGACTAAGGGCATCAACAATTTGAAAATCGTGAAAACATTGCGTATTCCAAAAGAGTTATGATACCTCCATATTTTGGCAACTTGTAGGGGCAATGACTTATATTGTTCGTTTTCACGTATAACCTTAATCTGATGCATAAATTACTTCGTAATTTATTTCTTAGAACAGCTTTGCTTTTTCTTTAAATTTTGACCGTCTGTGGTACCACCAGAGAAATCCCAATGTTAATTTTTACATCTGAAATATGAATTTTTATGAAATAAATATCTCCGACTGATCGGAAATACCAGTAAACATGGGACGGAATTTGTTATCCTCTAACTTGATTTAAGTTTGATAGAAATATTACGATGTATCCAGTTTTGATCAAATCGGATGCTACCTTGAGATATGAACAGACCGAAGGATAAACATTCCTAAATCATCTTCAAATGTTCTAAGACATTTTTCGTCTTCAGAGACTTGGAATGTAAAGGCGTTAATTTGATAAGACACGTGACGATATAGCGATTAACAAAGAGAAAACATTCCCATTCAAGACATAGTGCAATGTTCTACAGTATTTTTTATATACCCCATCCAATAAATGTATTTAAATTCCCACAACAATAACAGAATCCATTTTACATGTTCGTGATTCTCTTCTGTGCACTTTCCTTAACTCGCTTTTCGATTGTTTGGGAAAACAAAATGAAGTTCAAAAGTGTTGAGTATTAGTTAGCTTTTAACAGTTCTCAGCTAGATTTTCGTACATTCGTCCCCTTTGCGCTTTCGTCCCCTTTCGCACTCATCTACAATTTTGGTATTTGATGGTTATTGTGGCTGCATTCCAGCTTTCTGCATCCAAAAGATTTTCGCTTTGAAAACAAGTTAACATTTGTTTGAGATACAATGAATACCATTAAATTTATTACGTGTCAATTGTAGTTGTTGTTGCTGCACTATTTTTGTATTAAAAATAACAATAAGTTTATCTTTGTTCAGCATTGTTTGGTTGTTTTGTTTTTGGCGGGGGGAAAGACACAGTTTCATGTGTGTATTGGAAATCTAAACTAAATCAGCAAATTAGTTTTTAAATTGAGTTCACATAGGTTGGGAATTAGGAATTCAAAAAAAAAAAAAAAAAAAAAAGAAAGAAAGAAAAAATACTGAATAGAAATAATACGAATTTCATTTAAAAACAAATTGCATTGACAATTTATGTGCCACGTGTCAAGTTTAGACAATAAATTGTTTATAGCAAAATATTTTTTAAACATTGACAAATACAAACAAATACCACGAAACAAATCAAAAATTAGAAGGAAAACAATAATTCGTGTAATTGTGGACAGATCCTAAATGGGAAAATTGGACATGGATTTCTGGAATTATATTGATCAAAGATTCTGAGGAATTTTGCAAAATATTACATCCTACAAGAAATGGAGACGAAATCAATGTCAGACAATGTGCCGCCTAGGCCTGAATATTTTTTCGTGACAGCCTTTGTAAGTCAGAGTAAGTGTAAACAATCAAATTATCTTCCCAAGCTCTTGTATTGTAAAATGAGAGTTCTAGTGTGTGGCAAGCAAATGTGTCTCTTCACATCTAGCACAAGAATGATAAAAATTTTTAAATTTTCTAAAATTCTACGCCCAAAATTTTCAACGAGGGCGTCCAATGTGGTCCGTATTTTCCATATCGCTTTTAAATATTAAATAATAATTCGATTATTTCTGATGATCACGTATTGCAGATGGTTTTTATGTTTCTGTATATCGTAGATGACTTAAATCTACACCTAGTTTCTGATATTTTCCCTACAAATACTCAAAATTTTGAATTGTCATAATTCTCATGTAGTGCCAACTAAGTTATGGTTTTTTCTATACTTTGAACTTTACACTACTTTTCCCTCTTTACCCTTGGACGAAAAAGCCAAGTCACATAGTTCGCCGGTCGTCCGGGATGGTACACACACACTAACTCTTAAGTGAAGTTTGGGATTAAGACCTGAATTTATATTTCGTTATGTTCCCATCAAATATTTTTCAAAAGTGAACGATTCTTTTGCATAAGAATTTAGAGAAAATTAAGTGTTTCTATCATTTAATGAGCCTAAATGTGGCAAATCAATGCAGTGATCGTAGAGTCTTTGTCTACTTGGACATTTCGAGCCGGTCTTGCGTTATCCGTAGGCTTGTATATCTGCCCGTCTAGTTGTGACTCACAATAATACTCAATACTTAGATCAATTAGGAAGAAGAGAGTTATTTTCCAACTTATCTTGAATTTGCCTAACATTTGCAGATTATAGAAATATAAAGAAGCGTTAACCAAAAACGTTGTTTATCGTTATATCAATATCAAAATAAATTTAGCAGAAAATGATCAATGCCGGTCCTACCGCTTCCAACTCAAATAGAGTGTAGTTATTTTTTTTTTAACCTACGAGGATATCAATATTCAAATCCATATAGAATCCATCGGATCGGTCCAATCTATCTGGTCTACAAAGTAAAAATGAGAGTGACCTAATGTATCGAAGTAAACGATAAACCATTGCAGTTGAATTTTCATTCCCATTTACTCCTTAAACTGCAAAACCTCAGCTAAAATTTTAACAAGGCATGTCATTGTTTATAACTAGAAATAGAGAAAAATACAATTTTTTATCGTTATAGGCTTCACCTTGAAAAGTAGGGTATATTTACATTGTCATTCTAATTGTAGCACCATTAAAAAATATTCATGATCACCATAATTCAAGCCGATTTAACGATATCCGTGTATTGAAATCACGATACAGTCCACATTATTTGACATAAAGCTTCACAATTTGGTAGAACAATTTGTATTGTGTCTAGGATGTTTGGTACTGAAAATGAGATATATCGGTCCACGTTTAGATATAGCCGCCCGATATTCGGTGTTTTGATGAATCTTCGTCACATTTTTTCACGGATTTGTCTAAAATTTGGTATTTGTAGGTAATAATGGGTTCTAGCTTCGGTGGCGAAACATATTTAAGTCCTCGTTTTTTGTATAGACTCCATATAACGGTACCTCCCGATGTTCGGTATCTTGATGATTTTCACCACATTATTTTTTCACAGGTTTGCCTAAAATTTGGTATTTGTAGGTCATAATGGATTCTAGCCCCTGTGGTAGAACATTAAAAATTTAAGTCAATGTTTTCCTATAGCGCACATATAAGGATAGTCAAGTCAAATTTACCCACGAAATTGTTTCATATTGGGTATTTAAAAAGATTTGGTAGATGACAATCCTCGAAGTATAAAAATGCCTAAAAATGTTCTGGCATAGCCCCCATGAAACGGTCTCGCACTTTATGGTGTTTTGAAAGGCTTATCAGCATTATCCAAACGGTCTTACCGGTATTTGTATTTTTTAGTGGAACACGTTTGAATTCTGATGCTTTTATATAAAATGTTTTCTTTACCAAATTGTGGAGGGTATTAAAACCTCCACTGAGGTTATATTTAGTTTGTCATTCCGTTTGATCAGCAAAAATGTCTATCTATGTCTATCTAAAGATGTCCGCCCGTCTATCGAAATCACTCTAGCTTCCGAAGGAAATGAATTAGGTTGATAAAATTTACCCAAATGTAGATTATCTCTGCTGGACTTTTGGTATTGAAAGTGGGCCATGTAGGTCCGCGTTTTGGCAAAGCCCCAATATAGTTGTAACTCCCTAGTTTCGGTATTTTGGTGATTTATGCGACATCATTCACCGGAAATGTTTCAAATTTGGTATTTGAAGTTCGTAATGGATACTGCAGCCTAAGACGGAAAATTGTCTGCGCAGGTTCTCGTCTTCGTATATCCCGTATAGAAAATTGTATGTGCAGGCCCACGTTTTGTTATAGCCCCCATATAATAGTAACATTATTCACCGAATTTTTTTTTTTTCAAGTTTCATATTTGAATTTTGTAATGGCTTATGGCAAAAGTTGCATATCAGGTCGACGTCGTCGCATAGACCCTAATATAACGGCTACATTCGGCATTTTTGATATTTCAACAGAATTTTTAACGGATTTTTTTTTTTTTGAAAATTACCAAATTTGTTACAATTTGGTGGAGGGTATTCAAAGTTCGGTCGGCCGAACTTACAGTTTTTTTACTTATTTTGTTACTGTATGGTTTTGGTAAAATCTAAGATTTTTCTTATTTAATGATTTTAGCTTACTGACCTCTGTCATTTTTTTGTAACAGAGGCCAGTAAGCTAAAAAACAGCATATAAGAAGAAAATATATAAATATAAATATATATATATATATATATATATATATATAATATATATATATATATATATATATATATATATATATATATATATATATATATATATATATATATATATATATATATATATATATATATATATATCATAATAGCTTCATAATAGCTTCCTCTTTAGTGCGATGCTGGTATTGAACCCGCGACCTTATTCTTTGTACTTACTCACATTACGTACTTTGAAGCGGTTACAAACGTGAAACATTGTTTCTAGTCTCACATCAGTGTCAAAGGGCATATTTTATTATTTGAGCTCACAACCTTCGGTTTTTAGTCGAACGTGCGCACTCTCTAACTACATTACTCATTACTTGGTTATGAGTTTTGGGACTATCCCATTATTTTCAACCAATTGGTAATGCTGAAGTCTGTTCACTTATATTAATCTTAAATGGGATATTCAATTCATGTGGCTCTTAAATTTATTTATTATTAATTTTATTTATAAACAAATGTCTTTGGCATCTTGCTTCTGAAAAGTACTTTTCACGGCATATGTAATAATAAATCGTTACAGGTATCAAATTTCATCTAATTTCCCCAATCTCATTTCCTATTAAATAGTCTGGTTTATGTTTTGTAGAATATTAACGTTTAATTACAGATTTTATAACAGAAAAATAAAAAAAAAATTTGATTTATTAAACAATTGATATTCCAAACGTGCAGCTAATTAGCCAAAGTGAATGATTGGCAAGTGACAGATATTGATGTATGCCAAAATACCAAATAATTATGCAATACGGCAGAAATAAATTATTATTTGCCAAATATTATACAGAATTGTTTTTGTGTAATCATGGTTGTTGTAATTTATTTTATTGATATTCGGCTTAAATTTAATTACAAGTAGTCAGTTTGCTTCGAGTGATTTAATTATTGGAACTTGGAAAATATGTCAAAATGCCAGTACTAATATGCAACAATATTTTAAAGCCACACACAGAAATTGTGATTTTCAAAAAAAGCAATAAAAACTATGCCTGGCAAGCATATTTTTATAAATATTTTCCAGGACCAACATTAAATCCTACGTGTTTATCCTGCATGGCAAATGCCTAGTTGGGAAAGTGTGGGAAATTTGTATGCTCTTCCCTTGTTACATTTTTAGTTTCCGTTATGTGTGGGTGTGTGTGTGTAGTTACATTTGCCTGTGAAATTCTTACACTAGTAGTTATGCTGAAACATACACACACTCACATGACTATGACACAACATACACAATTCTACCAACACTTATACCGATGCATTCGGAGGATAGCCTGCAAATGTTTATTATAGCCAGCTTCAGGCATATTCACTGGTTTCTTCATGTACACGTTCCACTTTTCTTTTTCTCGTTTATGTTTAGCAAAAAAAAAGTAGTAGAAGAAGAACAAGAAGAAAGAGGGCCAAGGCAGTTCCCATAGTTCTTTTCGTACATTCGCTCGCTCTTTGCTGTTTCGTACAGTAGCTGTGGCAGTGCCAGCTGCAGTTGTATTTTGCTTCTTTCTTTTGCTGTTTTTCTTCGGGTATGGCCAAAGAACCATTCTCTGCTCCGCTGTAGATTTGCGTCCATATGCGTCTTAGGGAGTATTGTAAAAATTAATATTAATGCAAATATTTGGAAAACTTGGTTATTTGATAAACATTTTAATTCAAATGCAATAAAACATGGAATTGGCAATGACCGGTGCAGGCAAATAAACAATAAATAAAACAGTTACAATTCCATAAATTATATATGTGCATTTTTATTAAGTTTTACACATCGTAGATCTAACTTAGACACGAATACAAAGCAGTTTGTTTGTGGTATTCGTCGTTGTCACGATTTCTGGCTAAAGTCTGATAGACCCAACAAAATCATATCATCACCCTTGATCGAAAACCTAACCTATGGATCACCATGAAAAAGGGTCTCGCCTCAGAATAATTTTTAAAATAGGTTCAACTCCAGACTCATGTACAGAATAACATATTATGGTACAACTGAATTGGCTGCTATTCGGGTTCTTGTTGGATGACAATTTTTTCTTAATCATACACGTTTCCCAAAGCTGGTTCTGGAATTTTCAAAATTTAAGAAGCAGGTTCTTATATATGGGATAATATCAATTTAACAATTTCAGCAAAAAAAAAAATAAAAATAAAAAATGGACTGATTTTCACACTTCTCTCTTGGTTGGCAACAGAAATACAACATGACCTAATT